TACAGAAGTAGGATTGCCCAACCTTCCTTCTGAGGAGTGGCTGGTGGGTTTGAACCACCAGCCTTCTGGTTAGCAGTCAAGTGCTTTAGCCACTATTAGCCACTATGCTACCAGAGCTCCTAACCCCCCTCACTCTAGCATTGTGTTTATAATCATCCATTTCTCTATCTGTTTCTAAACTAGGTTTAAGAGTGCAGGAATGATGCCTCATTCATCTTTGAATCCACCACCCATCTGTCAGTCTGTTGCACTGTGGTGGCTTGTGTGTTGCTATGTTGCTGGAAGCTATGTCACTGGTATTTCAAATACCAGCAGGGTCACCCACGATTGGTGTGGTCAGCAAAGCCTCCAACCTAAGGAAGACTAGGAAGAAAGGCCTGGCAATTTACTTCCAAAAACCAGCCAATGAAAATCTTATGGATATCTGAAAGACATTATCAGTAACAGTGCTGGGAAATGAAAACCTACCAGTGAGCATGAAGACAGGAAAGGGCTGGGCCATACTTGGTTCTGTTACACACAGGTCACTACATGTCAGAATCAACTCAATGGCAACGGACAACAGCATCTCTGTATGCCTGACCCAGAAAGCAGCACATCGGGGCTCAATAAACCTGCTTTCTCTCCCACAATGAATGGAGTCTTCCTGGTACAGCCACAGAAGCACAGGTGGTTTCATTAACCCTTTGAAAACAGAATCATTTTCTGGTTTGAATTTTTTGTTGGAAACAGCTATTTTCAGTAATGGAAGCCATTTTCAATGAAATGAAAACACATAGTTTTTTAGGTAATATAGGTTTTGATACAATTAGTGGGACACATATGTTCTGAGGCATCTCTAATGCTGGGATTGGTGGGCTAAGGCCCATTTCTTCAGATTCACACAGCTATACAGTTCCCCACCCCCAACAGATAGCAGCATGCACTTAAAGTGGGATAGAAACTCCCCACTAAACTCTAGAGGCAGAAAATGTAGGTGAGCTAAATATGTCCCATGGGTCACAAAGGATTAAAAAAAAAATGGTAAACTTTGATAAAGCCCAGGAATATGTTAGTGATTCATAACCATATCATCTTTGTTTATGTGTGAAATTGTTACAGTAGATACAATTGTGATCCCCTAGATGAGGGGAGAGATTTTAAGCAAGTCAACGATGAACTCAACATTAGGGAGCTACAACAAAACAAAGCTGGGTTTCTGTTCGGGCATCACACTATGATGACAACAGATACAACTCAAAAGAAAGAAGTAGAAAAAGATACTGAGAGATCTCTGGACAAAGTTATGTTATAGTCTTGACTTTAGCTGTGCTCTTTCAACAAGCAAACCAGGTGGTTCATGGTGCCTTTGAGTGGCAGCAAGCACACAGAATTCTGGTGTGGGTTCTATCCTGTCTCAAAACTGTGAGGTCATCCCTCATACCCTTCCTGTGCCATAGTTTGTTAATATCTAAATGGGGCATGCTTTCTTCGTAACCCGGTATTTATGCCAAGTTAGGGGATAACTTGAAACCCTAAAGCCACCAGCAGAAATGTGTGTGAAATGATATTATGAACAGCATGAATTTTAAACAAACTAATACAATCATTTAAAGTATCCATTGTAGCTCTAACGTTAAGGATCTTCGGTGGCACACTGAATTTTTATTTTATTTTTTTTTTACCAGGCAGCAAAAATACAGTATGGTCAGACAGGTCGAGGGATAGATGGGAAGGTGGGGCTAAGCAGAGGCACACAGGGCTGCACTGACGAACTGAAGGTCTCGTCATTTTTCTGTCCAAAGCAGCAGTGTGTACACGCATGCATGCGTACGTGTGCACACACACATACACACACAAGTCAAAATCCCTAAAACATTCATTCCACATATCAGAGCACAAGCTATTGTCACCGTGTATTTACTTTCACAACTCTTCCTAAGTTCAGTGATACGAGGAGCTATTTGGCTTCCTTTTTGCCCCCTTCCACCTCCTCAACCTTTCCTTTATACCTAATCTATGCAGCCTGTCTCCCCATGGCTTAATTTTTACCAGTAACTTTTATTAAAGTGAGAGTGGAAACATGCACAAGTCTACTGCATATAATCAGTGATACAAAGAGCTGGAGGTTACCACTCCTGGTTTCCTTCCCTAGGTTCTGTATAGGAAACGTGGCGATCTTTACTAAGTCACTCACTCCTTGGTCTCAGTTTCCTCTTCTCTATGGTTTCCTGGGCGGCATGTGATGAGGCCTGCTGTTGTTAGGTACCGGTGAGTTGGCTCCAACTCATAACAACCCTATGTACAACAGAACGAAACACTACCCATCCCGTGCCAACCTCACAATCCTTGTAATACTTGAGCCCATCGTTGTAGCCACTGTGTCAATCCATCTTGTTGAGGGTCTTCCTCTTTTTCTCTGACCCTTCACTTTACCAAGCACGATACCCTTCTCCAGGGAATGGTCCTTTCTGACAACATGATCAAAGTAGGTGAGACAAAGCCTGGCCATTCCCGCTTCCAAGGGCTTAGTCTTCCATAAACTCCAGAAGCTAGCTCCCCTCTCCTGGATATAATCCAGTCACTCATTTTACAAATTCATGTTGTTGTGCTGTTATGTGCCATCAACCCGACTCACAGCGCCCCCTCCTTGGGTTTCCGAGGCAGTTTCACTACAGAAGTAGATTGCCCACCCTTCCTTCCGAGGAGTGGCTGGTGGGTTTGAACCCGCCAGCCTTCTGTTTAGCAGTCAAGTGCCTTAGGCACTATGCTACCAGAGCTCCCTCACAAATGCATAGGAAGTTTTAATACACATTTCCTAACTCCCTTCTCCATGGAGAGTGCTGGTCCTGAGTCCCAACACAATGGATAGTTTAGTGTTGCTGCTGGGTTGGCACTGACAGTTTTCTACCTCCAAACTCTATAAACAGAGGCATGGAAAGGGGGAGAATATTTTCATTTAGTAAATGTACCAAGCATAATTTGGGGACAGTAGGATCCCACTCGGAAGGAAAGTTGGGCAATCTACTTTCACAGTGATCCTGCCTCGGAAACCCAAGGAGGAGTCACTATGAGTGGGGTCCGACTCGATGGTACACAACAACAACAACAACAGGATCCCACTACACCAGACCAGCCCGCACTGGCAATTACTCTGTTGAATTAGAGCAGCCCCTGGTCACCTGGCTTGTTCATGCAACAGGTTCCCTTTTTATCCTATTTATCTCCACAGCCATCTATTTGTGTCAAGAAAGGAGACATCTGAGCACAGCATCTGTTACTAGAGTAACACAATTACAGAATACTTTTATAAGAGGGGGAAATTCGACAATAAATCCTGGTAGTTGTCAGGTGTTTTAGGAGACAAAACATTACTCTTTCAATCACAGTGTCTTGTTTCAGCTGAGCATATGGTACTGCCTGCAGCGTTCCACCAGGTCTGCGGTGGGCAGGAAGACCACAGAAATGTCACCTCCTCTGAGCTGGCAGAGGAAAGCACAGCCAGGGGTCTGTTCTCCAGACCCCAGTCCAGCCACAGCCCCTCCCGCCATGTAAGTGACCTGGGGACATGCCAGGGACCTCAGGATCAGTGCCTTTCCCTCCACTGTTGAAATAGATTTAAATTCCAGGGCAGGTATCGGGGAGCCCCTCACTTTTCCAGAGGAGTGCGTTTGAACAAAGGTTAATAACTTCCAGCCACAGTACAGTGGTAACAATTCAAGGCCAATTAATGACTAGTTATTTCCCCACTACTATTGAAATTGATTTCAGTTGCATGTTTGATTTGTGAAAATCTTTTGCTTTTGTTTACAACTAACTGTAGACAACTGAAGGTGATTATATACATAATGTGAAGGTTAACTGCTAGTGTGTGTGTGTGGGTGTGTGTGTACAATCAACAGGTCTACATGATTCTTTGCTTACTGCCTTTAATTTTATGGCTATCCTGGTGATTTCATCTTCAGATTGGAAAGAGAAAGAGAGAGAGATTCAGATGGTATATGGAGAGGTTGTACTAGTTTCAAAGAGAAGTAACTGACATATTTCAGGGAAGATCCTGACATACTTCAGAGAAGCCCTGTCATCCTCTAGACCCTGCAGATCCTTAAAACTGATCACAGACCTAAGGCCAGTTTGCATTTTGCTCAGCTGCTGGCCTCTGTCTAGCCCCTAACCCCACCGCATGCCCAGGGGACCCCGGGGGCTGAGCGGGGCGCAGTGGAGACCACAGCGAGCCGGTGGTTACCTGCTAGGCTGCCCGGCCTCTGGAGCGTGGCCGTGGCATACAGCTCCTGCGAGTGCTTGCTGTACTGCTCGGACGCGTGGACCAGGCGCTTGGTGGGCGACAGGGTGGCGTACGTGCCAATGGTGGAGCTCAGCTGGTGGATGGGCGAGGACGAGATGGTGGACTGCACGGTGGGGGGCGAAGTCACGCGGATCGGGGACAGGCCGGCCGAGGACACGACGATGTTGATGGGCGAGCTGGTGCTGTAGGACTTGGCCAGGCGGCTGGGCGACT